CCATAAATGAGATCATTACGAAAAAAATTATCCAAGTAGACGTCATTAAATTTATCTAATTTTTAAATTTCCAATATGCCCTTAATTTTTTAGCATTGTCTATCCTAGAATTGTATCAACTTATAAATCTCTGTATAGGATTTTAAAGTCGTCAAGCTTTAATTTAGAGATAAGTTGCTAAGTACGTTGCAAACTTCTCAACAGAAACGTGACGCCATTTTTATAAGTATACTTACATCATTTTGTGAAATATTCTGAGTATTATAAGTACTCGGTGTGTTTGGTCCTGTTTCCCAGGAAGTGCGCTATTTATCAAATGTTTTGTACATACAACTCTGTTCGTTATAAATATGTGCGAAGTGTCTCTTAAAGTATACTGTGCAATAGGCGAGGGGAGCGGATCGCCGGTTGAAGAAGTAAGACAATTTTCGATATTTTTATAGTACCGATTAGACGACATTGTGACCTGTATAATTTGCGAAACTGAACGACCGATAATACAAGTAGAAACGTCTTACATATTAGAGCTCTCGCACATTTAATGAACGTCCTACCTGGAATCCTAATGGGGAAGTGCGAGGGCCCTTCGGCTCGGCAATCATGGCAGTAAATTTTCTCAGACACTCGTTGTGAACTTAGGAAATGATGGTATAAGCGAGAAATGACAGATACTTAAATCAACGAGGGTGACGAGTGACGGTTCTTATTTTTACAAGTGTCTTAATTAAACTTAAGGACAGAGCCTAGACTCTAGAGGGATGAACATAAACACCACCCCGAGAGCATTGAACCGTGGAACCACCGGCATTCCAGTTTTATCCGTTTAACTTCTCAGCTTCGTTTAATCAAATTAATCAATGTAGCAAGTACTGAGAATCAAACGTAATTATCAAGTAGTGTTCCAGGCAAAAGTATTATTAATACTGCAGGGAGAAGAGTTTCTCATTTCTAGCTTGTACTACTGTTTTCGAACCTCTGTAGTCTGTGTATAAAAAAAAAAAAATGAAAGGGGGAGAACGAGGGAGTGCAACATAGTCATCACCGAGTAGTCATATAAATAATAATAATAATAATATTAATAATAATAATTAATCGAGTCGCGGGTAGAGGAGAACTAGGATCGTTATACATAATAGAGAGGAGAGAGTCAGGCGAGAGATCCCGCGAGACACGTGCAACATGTATATTCACGTCGCATAGGAAACTATTTATGCTTAAGTTAGATTAATTATTTGCATAACGCAGCCTTATTTAAATAAATTTTAGAGAAACGAGTTTATTGTTCCATTGTGACACCTTAGATTAAAACAGGTAGTTTTTGTTTAGTAATTTATGTACAAGAATCTACAATAATTATAATCTTAAAATGAGTAGCTGGGTATTGCGCCGCACCATTCTTGAATGAACGCTAGGATGTCGTTCAGGGCTGAGTCCTGCGGCGCTTGGCGAGCTGTGTTAATTATTTTACTCCAGTCGTCGCGGTCTGCCACGTACTGACCCTTGAAACAATTATTGATTCATTAGATTCTTCGTTAAATTTAAAAAATTGAAGAAGAATTCTCAAGCAGGATTGTCTATACTTCATTTTAATAATGCAAATAATTCAGTTTTAAGTATTTAATTAAATAAAAAATATGAGAAATTATTTGAAATATTTAATAGAACAAAGAAAATTTAATTGCTAATAAACTGTAAATTGTTTATATAAAATAGGCAATTTTCAAGACGATTTTTAAATAATTTATTTAAATTAATTAATACCTCTGCGAATCGAACGATGGGACCCCGAACAGGATAACCAGTTAAGATGCAACCCTGGAGGTTCCCAGAACCTGGAGAAGGGGATGTTAACGATCCCACATAAACGCCTCTGTGATCCGTAGGAAGGACTTGTTCAACCTTTTGATCCATAGACACCGCGAGGACCCACTCGCGGGCCTCTTCCCTCCGCTCTGCGGTCAAACTCACGGTCTCTGACAGAGGAACCTCCAGTGGGAAGTCGGTGACAGTCAAATCGTCGACGTCCAACACGCCACTATCGCCCTCCTCGATACACTCCTCGAGGTCCAAGAAATGATTCAAGAAAACGAACGCTTCACTGTTTAACCCAGCGGCACGCGCTTCCATGCCAGCTTCGTAGTAAGCTCTGTCGGCGAGCAGCAAATCGGTGTACCTCAAAAGAGTGATAGTCGCTTTTAAAACTAATCCAGAGAGCACTGGATAGTCACGGCAGCCGGATTTCACTGCCGAGTAGTGAGTAGCCTCGAGGAGCCTCTCGAATTTCGACTTCTGATTAGACTCTGTGGATTTTAAACTGTTCCACAGATCCAGGAGCACTGTTCTTAATAGAGCCAAGTACCTGTATTCATTGTATGCCTGAAACAGACGACATTTCATCATTTATCTACAACCCTAAATAGAGTACAGTAAAAATTCTTGCAGAATATTAAAACAGAAAACAGTATTTGAATTATAATAAAAAATCTAGAACGACGTTAACATAATCTTACCTCAGAATTCAGAACGCTTTCTGATAACTGTAGATACAAATTGAAATTCTGTGAAATGGCAGGAGTCCCATATTTGCCATACAACTGCAGAGCTTCTAGGGGTGAATTTGCCTTTAAGAGCTGCACCGCTCTTTGTGCCACGTATTTGTGCAAAATCTGAGTACCCTGATTGCTCGCCATTTCGAATACCTGACTCCACTGCCCTTTACTGGCTAATACTTCTAATCCAGCATCAGCGTCTATCTCAACGAGCCTGTCTATTTGTCCATCCCTCAGCATAGCTTCTTTGTATTTCTCTTCGAGATAGGGTTCTATGTCCGGCGCTAATTCGTTCACGATTCTCTTCGCTTTTTCCCATTCCCCTAACGATGCCAACGCGTCAATAGCATCTTTCAGTCTGTCTGCCTGTAAGAACACCTAAACGAGACGAAATGTTTAAACAGAAGAAGAATTTTAGAATATAATTATGCAAAATATCCTGGATAAATACCTGAGCAGCGAGGGCATGTTCCCCAATGGCGAATAATCGTGAGCCAAGATCACCTCCCACTTGGACAGCAGTTTCAGGGTCCGCTTGATGAAGCAAGATATCCGCAGCTTTCACAAGAGACGATCTGGACGCTTGGGGATCCAAGATCAAGATATCTAAAGCAGCACGTACTTCACCAGCTTCTAACCATTTTTTGGCTTCCTCGAACGCGTTTGCACCAGCAAGGGAGGCACTCTTCTGACCCAATTCTCGACGGAGGTTCGCCTCTTGGCTTGGCAGGTATTCTCTGCAAACCCTTAACGCCTCTGACCACATTCCTGCTTTCTACAATATAAAAGAAATGTTTAAATATTATTATTATTAATATTAAGGTTGTGATTAAAGGTTGATTTGATTTGTAAGTACCTTATAGTATTCGATGATCATTTCAGGTTTATGAGCCCTCAATAAGAGCGTCTCAGCTAAAGAATAATCTTGAGCTTCAGCAGCTTCGCTTGCTCTGGCGATCAGAACCTGAGCTATGGCATCCTGATTAATTGTCTGAGCCACGTCTTCTGCAGCTTCCCAGTCTTTAGTATGGATGTACATTTGAACAGCCTCGATGGTTCTCCCAGCTTTGATGAACTCCTTTTCAGCATCTGAGAAACGACCTGTGTCTTCTAACGCCATGGCGTACCTATAATGAACTTCTTTCTTCTGATCTATGCTTCCATGCTTGGCGATTTCTAAGGCCCAGTCGAATAAACCGGCCTCGCAGGCTAATTGCAGACAGCCGTCTAAGTAATTCAATCGCATGAGGAGTCTCGCTGCTAATTCCGGTGCCAGTGTACGCGCCCACATAAGGGCGACCTGAAGAAGGAAACATTTAATAATTGTGGGCGTGCAAAGTGGAGAATGGTTCATAAAAAAATGGTCCACTGTATATATCATAAAAATTAACTTATTAATACTAATTAAGGACCTGTTGAGCAGCGTTGTCCCCAGCGTTATGCTTCGCCACGCGCAGAGCGTCTTCCCACATGTTCACCGATCTGTACGCAGTGACGGCGCCTCTCCAATCGCCAGCAGCGAGATAATGCTCCTCCGCTTCCCGAGCTTTACCTGCAGCATCTAATTCCCTGGCCAAATGAGCGTGCGTCGTCTCAAGGAGATCTGGCCTGTGCTTCGCCACTAGTCTGACCATGTCCGCCCGCCTGCCGGCTCTCCTGTACATAGCAATCGCCGAGTCGTAATCACCGATAGCTAAATACAATTCTTCTGCGTGTCTCAGGTCGCCGGACTCGCTGAGAGCCGTGGCGTGCTTAGCCAAAACCTCGTTCGCCTCTTCAGCCGTCATGTACTCCTGCGCCACTTGATGAGCGCGGCTCCAGTTCCCGCTTTGCACGTGGACTTCTACGGCACGTTTTGCATCCCCAGAACGGACGAATAGTTTCTCAGCGAGAGATTTCTCGCCTATGGAGGCGAAGTACTCAGCCAGCTTCTCGGATTGCTTTTTAACCGTTGGATCGTCGTCTTCTATCACCTGCATGATCTGTAAACCCTTCCTCCATTGTTTGGCGTTTATCGCCGCGTCTAAAGCTAGAGCAGTCTCCCCTGCTTCGATGAAGTGATTAATAGCCGCGTCGTAATGCCCGGCTGAGGCTAAATGCTGCCCCCAGTCTCGTTCGAGGTCAACAACAGAATTTGGATCCACTTTTCTAGCCAGTTCCAATGCCCTGGCAAACACTCCTGCTTGAGAGTAGCATTTGATCGCTTCTAAAGGCTCGGAAATCTGCTCGAACAATTCCCCAGCGAGTTCCATCAAGTCCGTCGCTTTCAACGCTCTTATGATTTCATTGACGATCGACCTGTCTTCTAACAATTCGTCGTTCGCCAAGACTAACCGAGCCGCACGACCAGGGCGACGAGCGTCTAAATACAGTTTTACCGCTCGTCTAGGATTCATTGATTCCAATATGGCCGCAGCTCTCGCTGCCTGACCGCTTTCTAATAACCATGTCAAGTGTCGGTCTCGGAGTTCTTGTAAACCTGGCCAGCCTCGGTTCTCGGCTAAAACTAACGCGTCCTCCCAGTGCCAGTATTTCTGGTACATGTCCAGTGCCTGGGTTAACTCATTTTGTTCTAAGTAAATTGCCTCAGCGGTCTTCAGTTCACCGTTGAGGATCGCCAGCTTGGCCCAACAGTCGGGACTCGATAGAGGCTCGTTCCCTGTTTCCTCACTGTATTTTTCACCGATTTTTATCACGTTCTTGAGGAATCTGAATGAAACGATCAGGATTATTGGAAATTATAGAATATCATTTGAATAAATCATATGAATCATGTGAATAAAAATTGTAACGTGAATAGCAATTAGAACAATTGCAATATATTTCTACAGAAAAGAATCAGAAAATACAGTGCAATTATTTACTATAGAAGAATCAGAAAATACAGTGCA